TGATTGGTAAACGTGTTTGTTCTTTGTGAGTACATAAAATCCTAGATTTTCTTGATTTCTGCTCTGTTTTCGGGAGGCTTTTGCTGATATATCAAGCAAAAACGTTTTTTCTGCATGAAATACAAATAGCAGAGTAGCTTTATAGTATCTTTTGTACCTTTTTGCCAAGTTCTACTGAATAAAATTTTTGTGAAACTAATATTATAGTTTTCATAAAGTCATATTAGTTATTGTTTTTGTGGAACGTAACTTTTGTGCCCTTTCAAATAAGACATGGTGAACTGCACTGCTGTAAATACAAATAAATAAAAATAAGATGTGGTCAATTTGATATTTTTGTTATGGCACAGAGGTTTAACACAGAATTTGGCAACATGGCTAGTATTGTAAAGTAGTTTTTCATTATTAGAAAGTACCTTAAAGCACATTGTGAAGAATTGTCTTAGTCTTTTTTAACCAACATCGAATTACAAAATCAATTACAAAATTCCAGATTTGTGACCTAGATTTGGCATGGGTTCTTGCGTGGTTTTCAGAACACTATTACACATTGGTGCTTCAAATTCTGCACAATGCCTTAGAAATTAGAGAGTTAGATGTTCCACAGATTCAGGGATAATTGGGTCAGAAAAGGCGAAATTTTGTACTTAATTTAGCTGTACTTTAAAATGTTTGGAGGAAAAGTTTCGCAAAATTGTGATGAGTTCTCTTTCTTGGAATGAATTTTCGCTCTTACAATATATTTGTCATATTAGAAAATTTAACAACACATTTGGCACTAGGGCACAATAACACGAAATCCAATAGGAAATTTAGCAATTTCAGTTCAAGTGGACGAAAATTAATCTTGTACCAGAATAATACTAAGTATATTAAAATTATTTTTGCATTTTCTAAATGCTACAGCTATAAATAATTGTCTGGAATAACACCAGAACCAATTTCCCATAGGAACTCGAGAAAATAAATTTCATACTTTAAAGAAATTATGCAAACACAGATAAACTTTTTAAAATCATCATTGTCATTTCACCAGAGTACTTTTCAAGTGTTTCTTATGAGCTTCAAAATTTGATTTCAACATTTGGTGTTATTAGAAATGGTTACTTAAAACATTCGCACAGACGTTTGCGATATGATGCAAATAATCTTGGTACAAAGTTTTTGTCCACTTGTTACTTGAATTTCTGATGAATTCCATCTTAATGTATGTAAAAGAAGTTTTTGACTGACACTTGACCAGAGAAAAGGGATTTTGTTGGAGGGCCATATTGTTGGATGGAATGTAACACTGAGAAAAAAATCAAAAATTTTGCTAAGAACACATCATATATCATCACAGGATGAAAATCAAAACTGTGTAAATACAGTGATATTAGACACAAAATAGCTGAACTAGACATCAAAAGCCGCTCAACATTTTACTACGATAGAAATGCAAAATTGACAAGCTCTAAAACCAGAAGAAATTAAATGTTCCTCAAAAGATAAATTTAAACTCCAGGCATTAGTAATTAAATTCAGAGAGAGCTTATTATCAGAAAGAATTTTTACATCTGAGCTATACCTTATTAGATTTTACTTATTGAATTTCAAGGTACTTCAAGTGCTGTTCGGGTTCCATTTCAACTTACTTGGACAACATATCCAGTTATTATTTGCTTGATATATGGAATTTTGTCTTGTTGTACACTCGACCTAGACCGACATTTCTTGGTTGAAATGTTTAAAAACATTTCTTTGCTTTCGATTTGATTAGAAAACGTAGAGACTTCTGTTTCTTATGAGAAGTGAATAAATTTTGAGTGATGTCTGGGAAAATTGGAACTACTGGTAACCAGTAAGCATAGGGCTGGTGTTTCAGAAAATATATTTAAAATTTATAATTGTATTGTCCTTGAAGGATAGCTGTGTGTAATTGGTTAAATTGTTCCTTGGTCATTTTTAGCAGATTGTTTTTTTCCTTTGGTATCAATGGAAAGCCAATACGAGATTTCCACTTTTCCTGAGCGTTCATTGTTCCAGCTACTGATCAGTTAAAAAATTAGAAAGTATTCCGTTTGCGAACGGGTAATTTAATGACTGAGGTGACATGAAGGTTTTAAAACAGGATTTCAGCGAGGCATCAATTCTAAAACAAATCTGTTACTGCATATAAACTATTAAAAACATTCTGTTTGGGTTTACCACCTGTCAACTGATCAGCGTGAGAGCCTCACCATCACTCCCCTAAAATGAAAAGAACTTTTTGCTATCATTCATAGGGTGAAAAAGATATGTACGCTCAATCTACTGTTGAAAAAATGTAGAGCAATTTGAGTCTTGCGAAATAAAGGACTTGACTTTAGGTTAAAAATTCATTTCATGGGCGCTTAATAACAGTGATTGAGCCAACATAAACCGTAATGGTCTTGTGGAAATCGAAGGTTAAAAGTTGATGGTGTATGAGAAAAGGAACAATGTGTTGTGTCACTTAATTACAAAATAGGGGCTTATTAGCAATGAGCCGTTCACTTTTCAAGAACTAGTGATTAACCTATAATTTCTCCTTACTGTAGCAAGACATTTACAAGCAGACAAGTCATGAGAATTTAAAAAATCGTCAGCCAACGAAAATTGTTTTGATGTCAAATTTTCCAATTATATCATCGAATTTATGTTTTATTATAATTATAGAAATATACGACAAGTAATGAAGGGAATTCAATTAAGATCAAAAGCTTGATATTTTTAACTTAGAAAACATCAAAGAACCAGCACTGGATTATTATTTTCCGCTGCCTATGTTTTAAGGCAAAAACTGACTTTATTCAATGTTAACAGAGTAAGTAAAAGAATTGTAAAATGTTCAAGCTCTTGAGCGTTAAATTTGTTAGCAGTTTTTTTCTTTTGAATTGATCCAGCCGTTTGAAAACGTTATTAAAGTTCACAGTTCAGTGACACTGAAAATTGCGCCATGAGCACACGAAGTGAATTCAGTTAATGTTCTCAAAATAACTGTTGCTTTTAACTTAGAAAATCTGGCTCAATAAATAACCCACAGGTTGAAAAACTGTTTTTGTGGCATTAAATCTCAAAATTTTACGTCAATGCCTTACTTTTTAGATAAAGACGTGAAGCCGTTCTTAGATTTGTGACAGCTAAATGTTACACAATGACTAAGAATTGTTCAACAACATAGGAAACAAATTCCATAGTAAACCCCGGGCAGAATTTCTTCTAGGCTACAGTTACCAAACAATGATATAAATTGAAGACTGTATTGTTGTTTTAAGCATCCTGCACACAGAAAAGTCCATATTTGTACCGTCAGAACAAATGGTGTGGTCAGTTTACAAGATGAGTTGTATAAGAAAACATCCGGAAATGAAGAATTGTGATTCTGGAATTTATTAACTATGAATTCAACACCAACAACAACTTTACTTTAGTATTCCCATTTCTTAATTAAAGCAGGTATTTTACCGATATCAAGCAAATTGATATTCATCACAATAAAGAAATATGTATCAAGAGTAGGTGAATTTGTAAATTACAGACTAATAAATGACATGTTCTACAAAACAAAACCGGCTGTTAATCTACTGACATGTAGATTAGCATTACGGAAAAGAAAAAATAACTTTTCATCATTATTAACCTCCATGAGTGGCCTTTTTCGTTCAATCATTTTCCCAACAAGGAAATTTCTTGGGTCATGTAAAATGAAATAAAAAATGCACAAATTTCATTTTCAGCCGAGTTGAATGTGCAGTGTTGAGACCCTCAAGCTTTCAGGAGTTCTTAGAGAATGGAAAATCTTCCAGTTTCGATTTTCGGGTTGAGTTTTAAGCAACTTTTCTGTGTCCAGTAGCTTCTTATATGTTTAGTAGTCTAAGCATTTTGTCATTTTTAAAACCCTAAGTATATTAACAGCTAATTTTCCGCTTTTCTGAAATGGTAATAGAATCCAAGGTGGCAGATATTGAGAGGCTTTAAAACATTGGTGTCTACATCTCAAACTTGAAAAATTACATTAACTTGTGTCGAAAAATATGAAAGAAATTAGGAAACGGACAAAATTTACAATTACAGAGTTTTGCGAATTCTTACGCTCATTCTTTGTTAATTAAACCAGTATGTCAAAGTGTGGCAGTTCAAATAGCGTAAAACTTCTAAGCAATTGCATTCATATTGTTAATCACTTATAAAATATTCGGAAAGTTGAAAATAAGTTTCTTGCCTTTTGATTGATCAATAATGATTACTCTTGTCAACAGTCACACGGATATGAAAACAGCCAGGCCAGAAAACGTACTGAGGAACTACACAATATTAAAATCAACCAGTTTGAAATGAAGTAACACGTCTTCGACACATAATGTGAACACCTCTGCAGTATACATTTAGTGATTTTGTAAAACTCTTTAAATATGTAAAAATTACGGGCCATGCCTACAAGTACAATACTTTCACAAAACCTTTCAAGTGTTAAGAAGGTTTAAGAGCTCAATAAAGGTGTCTGACAAAGGGCTCTAAAAACCATCTAAAAAAATTACA